AATAAACTTTATGATAAATTCATCATGTATGCCAAGAACGTTATCAATCATATTGAATATTATTGGTTTAAATGAAAGTCAATGATCGTAATAACAATAATCACAAAAATAATAACGATAATAATGACGAAAATAAAAATATAATAAGGTCATTTTATAAAATTGTGAACACGTTCTCTTTATCAGCTGTTTTGACGTTTATTGGATACAAACAAACAAACAGACAGACAAATTTATATATAGATTGTACATAGTACATATTAATTATTTTTCTTATTTAAAAAAAAAACAATATGAAATATTTCCACAATTTGGAGTAACAAAATCTATTTGTCTCAAATATAAATATTTTGTAATAAATACCCTAGTAAATAAGTAATATAAAATTTGTATATTTTGATCAAACAATAAAATGAATGTGAACAGAAACTTGTCAAAAAAAAAAATTAACAAAGAAACTTTCTTCGTCCTAAATAATTTAATTATGTCATATTGTTATATGTGTATATATATATATAATTGAAAACTCAACAGTCAGCAACTATTATTATTATCATTATCATTATTATTCAATTGATGGAAAAAATTTCCACCAATAGTTGAAACTATCAGTCAATGAAATTTGTTGTTTATTTTCGATTTAAATGTTTTCTTTACTCTGAAACAATAACTTTTTAAAATGCGTACATTTCTAATGCGAATAAAATATCAAGGATATAGACTCTTACCAAGCTTTTACAGTTAGAAAAAATATTACGAAATCTAATGATTAACCCATTGGAAAACAGCCCAAGGCCATTTTAGTGTTAACCGTTCAGGGGAAAAAAGGCAAAAAGTAAAATTATTTAAGATATATTCAAATTTCCTCCCAATGATGAGAGCAGGAAAAAACTTGTTTTTTACTTAAAATTTTTATGTCGTCCATGGAGACGTCTAGACAGAATTATTTAAACCGTATAGAAAGTACAGTTTAGAGAGCAGAGTACCCCGTAAATACAGATATTTAATTCTCAACATTGATAAACATAGATATTAATTGATTAAAATCGATATTAGATTTTGTTACACATTCTAAATATCTTTCTTGGCGCGCCCGCAAGCCAAAAGTTTGATTATGACAAACATAAATTACATTAAAATGTGCAAAAATTCTCCATTATAATAAATTGCACTATTTGGCCTCAATTCTGTGCAAAAATGTCACTCACAATTTTTTAAATGATTTTTATATGATTAATACCATCATAGAATATTACTTAATATTCCCTCATTTTTAAAAAATTACGATTATTTAAGAAATGCACGGATGAGTAATCACTGAATGGGAAGAATTATTATAGTTAATAATAGATCCTGGTTCCCTGGATGAATGAATGAAGGATCATGGTCCCCTGGATGAATGAATGAAGGATCCTGGTCCCCTGGATTAATAAATGAAAGATCCTGGTCCCCTGGATGAATGAAAGAAGGATCATGGTCCCCTGGATGAATGAATGAAGGATCCTGGTCCCCTGGATGAATGAATGAAGGATCATGGTTCCCAGGATTAATGAATGAAGGATCATGGTCCCCTGGATGAATGAATGAAGGATCATGGTTCCCTTCCCAGGATGAATGAATGAAGGATCCTGGTCCCCTGGATGAATGAAAAGAGGATTCTGGTCCCCTGGATGAGTGAATGAAGGATCCTGGTCCCCTGGATAAATGAAAAGAGGATTCTGGTCACCTGGATGAGTGAATGAAGGATCCTGGTCCCCTGGATGAATGAAAAGAGGATTCTGGTCCCCTGAATGAAAGGGAGGGGGCAGCCCCTGTTGATTGATAAAAAGATAATTAACGGGGCAAAAACAGTGACAAATGGTTAAATTACATTATTTTACAAGATATTTAATAATGTTATTTGCATAACATCCCGCTAGTGTCTGTCTGCATGAAAAGATGGATGATTAATGAATGATGAACTAATGAATGAGTGAATGGATGATTAATAAAAGGATGAATTTATGAATGCGTGAATGGATGATTAAAGAAAGGATGAATTAATGAATGAGTGAATGGATGATTAATGAAAGGATGAATGAATGAATGAGTGAATGGATGATTAATGAAAGGATGAATTAATGAATGAGTTAATGGATGATTAATGAAAGGATGAATTAATGAATGAGTGAATGGATAATTAAAGAAAGGATGAATTAATGAATGAGTGAATGGATGATTAAAGAAACGATGAATTAATGAATGAGTGAATGGATGATTAATAAAAGGATGAATTAATGAATGAGTGAATGGATGATTAAAAAAAAGATGAATTAATGAATGAGAGGATGGATGATTAAAGAAAGGATGAATTAATGAATGAGTGTATGGATGATTAATGACGGGATGAATGAGTGAATGGATGATCTAATATTAAGTACATGCCCTGGTATACGTCGGAACAAAGCGCTTTGTCTAGAACTCGATTAAGCAAACTCGGTATACGCAAACAAACACAACACATGTGTTTCTTATTAAAATTTACGCAGCCAATACAGGGGTAATAACCCCCCCCCCCCTTAAATGTTCAAATATTTTTTAATCCGATAAGAAAACTTGTTACAATGTGAGAACACAAATTACTTGAGATCTTTTTTAAATTTTCCGGTGGGGTGGGGGAGGGGGGCACCCCTGTTTCAATCTACAGATAAATTACTTAGTTGTCAAAACACGATAATAAATTTACGCTTGTGGAAGGTTATTTTAAACTATAGTTTTTCATAAAATATTTATTAAGGACAAATTAGTTTCTGATAGTTCTTGAAAATCAATTTTAATTGTCACCATTGTTTCCCGACTGAAAAATTTTAAAAATAAGAAGAATATTTAAGTATTCCTAATATTACAGTTGGAAGGTCGAGATTATAAAAATTATTATGAATACACCTGTTTGGTGTATATTAGACTAAATTTATTAACCTTCAAGATAATTCCACTTGTTTAAATGTGTTACAATTATTTCATGATTTTATCCTTCCTCATGAATTTAAAAGAAAATTATCAAAAAAGCCAACTTGACACCTGGGTTGAAGGAGAGGTTTAAGTCAAGAGAGAATGCATCATTAACATTTAAAGAGAAGGTTGCAGAATAGTTAAAGGAGGAATAAAATGAAAAATATACATTGTGAAAAATGAATTAATTGATACTTATATAATTCTATAATTTCAGATCAACTCATAAAACTTGCCCCCCCCCCCACTTTAAGATTAATCATATACCTCCTTATATTTTGGGTAACACTTCCTTTAAACACCTAAAACACATTAACATTGAAGGACTCTCAAGACTGAATAAACAAATTAAAGAATTCCACCACCACTCCCATTTAGATTTGTCATCAGTTTTAGCAGAAAAATAAAAATAAAATAAAATCAGGTTTCAGATTTGCAAATCTTGTTAAATTTAAAAGCTTAATTACCCCTCCACCCCTCAAGCCCCTCAAGGTCCTCTGGGATCCACTGATGGCCCCTTGCATGTTTTTTTTAATCCTCTCATGAGACCATCATCAATCATGTTTTTATTCCAATACATCAGTATATATATAAATAGATACACAATATAGATTACAATGCACGGTTTTCCTCATAGAAGTAATGGAAGAAAAACTGGTTATTAAAAAGCTAAAACTCCACGAACAAACAATTAAAATAAAAAAGCTAGTTTTTGTTTGACGTGTATAAGTAGTAGACTGCTAAGTTGATAAATATATATTTAAATGAAAATAAATGGACTATAGGATCTTAGCTAGATTATAGACATATAAATAGACAGGTGGATAGTTAGATAGACAGATACATAGACAGGTGGGTAGTTAGATAGACAACTAAATAGACACTGGGTAGTTATAGACAGGTGGATAGAAAGAAAGATTTAACAAGATATCTAGATAGACACATGGACAGTTAAAAAGATAGATAGATTGGATAGTTAGATACAGATAGACAGATATATAGACAGGTGGGTAGTTAGATAGACAACTAAATAGACACTGGGTAGTTATAGGCAGGTGGATCGAAAGAAAGACTTAACAAGATATCTTGATCGACGCTGGATAGTTAAATAGATAGATAGGATAGTTAGATACATATGGACAGTTAGATAGAAGACTATGCAGACAGGTAAATAGACAGGAGAATAGATAGATAGACAAACATATAAAAGCTTTGAATTAAAAAGGCAGAGATCTGCCTAAATCCTGAATTTTAGCTGAACGAAATATACAAAATAAACAAATAAATCCTTGAAAAGCTTGAAAACAGTTTCAACATCCTTACAGTAATAGGCAGAACATTCATAACAGCTGCTGTTATAGATGCCATAACAGATTTAACAGGTAGGCTTAGCAGTACAGCTTTAGGGGAAAAAGCAATAAGTACAATGTATATGCAAAAGAGGACATTTGTGTACAATACGAAGATGAACATTTTACAAGAATCCGCAATCATCCGGACTAGGATATGTTGCGTATATTGCGTTTATTTAGGATGTCCAATAGTGCGTGACATTGAAATAAGGCTACGCAAATATGCGTCACATTTACGCTATTCAAACTGCAAGAATTGCCATTAGTTTTCGGTTAATCAAAATAAACTATTTGTTGCATTTCCTTCTTTAAAAAGAAAAAAAAATTCATTGACAGTTGACATACATACTACATTTTAGCAATAAACTTACATTTGACAGATAAATTGACAGTTGACAGATAAACTGACAGTTGACAGATAAACTGACAGTTGACAGATAAACTGACAGTTGACAGACAAACTGACAGTTGACAGATAAACTGACAGTTGCCAGTTTAGCTGACAGTTGACAGTTTAACTGGCAGGTAACAGATAAACTGGCAGTTCACATAATCATTGATAGTTGACAGATAACAAATTCAATGACAGTTAACATACTGACAGATGATAGTAAGACACTTGAAAAGACAGATGACAGTTTACGAATGAATCTCTACCTAGCTGTTGCCAAACAGCCTCTGAAGCTGTTGTTTTAAAATTTACAGTTGTTGTATCACAGTTTTTATTGCGTCTGTTACAGACGGACGGAAACCTCACTGATGTGTTCATGATCACAATAATACATAACTGTACTCAATTAAGTACGAGAAGATTATAAAATAAATAGAAAAGTAGAAAAAAGGCAGTGTCCAAAACAGTTTTTAACTCGCAAGGAGTTGAGTGTTACTGAAGCGTTGGTTACGCTCTACGCATGCTTCAAACATAAAGAGATGGAGAGGAAGAGGAGGTGGATTTTCGGGGATTTAACAATTATTTTAAAAAGGGATTTTATCAAAAAATCTAACTCTTATTACAGAAATTATAATATTAAACATACAAATCTACATGCACTCTCCACCACCCCATTTTACCCCTCCCATTTAAAGTGACGCAACGAGATGCGTAAATTATAAACATCAAACTGTTAACTGGGGCAAGCTGAAAGTCTTTAGAATAAAGACGTCTGATTTTTTATAATTACCCAAATACTTATTTTTTACAGTCTAAAGACGTCTATGAACAAACTTGTAAACGCATTTAAAGGAAAATGGCGTAATGCGTACTATTACGCTTATGATGGTTTTACGTCTTAGCCTAGCAAGGACATGGTATACGCCAACACACAAACACACACTCCACGTGGGCCGGACACACAAACACCTTACACACATCAGAATCCTATAGGGTGAATCACTCACAGTCGATCCTGAAACCACAGATAACCTAGTTATAACCATGAGGGGGGGGGGTGTATTTGAAATAAAAATTCTTATGGATATCTCACTCTTCTAACATTACAAATTAAAATGAGAATAACAACTGTATAAACACAGTTATAAATTCACTTCGTCACGTTCATATTATTTCAGGCTGTACATTGTACGACTCTTGCGTAAACAACTTAAATATAAACAGTTGGCATATACGCATTTCAAAATAAGTGTATGTACAATATTTCAAAATAAGTGTATGTTAAATATTTCAAAATAAGTGTATGTACAATATTTCAAAATACGTGTATCTACAATATTTCAAAATAAGTGTATGTACAATATTTCAAAATAAATGTATGTACAATAATTCAAAATAAGTGTATGAACAATATTTCAAAATAAGTGTATGTACAATATTTCAAAATAAGTGTATGTTCAATATTGAGTGCAGATGAAGTAGAACTTTAAAAATCACAATGGCATGTACTAAGATCATTTACTTGTATTTAATAATTTTGCACACCGCGCATATGTGCACACTGTAAGATGTAAAGATAACAAATCATGTACATTGTACGTGTGCATGTTCACGCATGCTACGTATTCAATTGAAACACAGTTTCAATGAATAATGTGATTATGTATAGGTCTACAACATAAATTGTTAATAATGTACAATGTACTGCAGGTTTACAGAATATAATGTTTACACGATATTTGCTACAAGTCTATTAATTAAAAGGGTTAGGAATATTTCTTAAAAACCTGTAATATACAAGGTCTTTTTAAAACCTAGGACCTAAAATGTATGGGCCTACTTTAAGACAGTTTCAAGCCAGTTTCAAGCCGGTTTAAATCTCTTTATCCAGGCAGTGTGGCAAGTATGTATAATTTGGGGCGTTACGCATATAGTGAGTAATGTAGAGAATTCACCGTTACTTTAACCATAGGATTTTAATTTCGAGGATTTATTGATTTTTTTCTTGGATTTTTAGAATTTTACAAACATTTTTTAGAGACGATTTTTTTGTTAGTTTGAGCATCCATGAACCTCCCGAGGTCCCACAAAAATGTTTACCCGGTCGGTTCAGTCGTTTTGGCGTTAATTGGATAGACACACACAAACAAACGGACAGACAAGCAAAGTATCTGTTAAGATATGAGATCGAAATAAACGTGAACAGTAGCATATAACGATCAAATATTTTATGTTTTAAACCTTTAAACTTTCAATTATAAGAATAAAAGTTTAAAATAATCTTGTAACTTTTGAAGTGCAAAATACCCCCTCAAAAATATCGTTGCCAAAAAGCAAATCTGCTTTGAGTGATAAGCCTCTAGGTCTGACCCCAACTGCATAATTGCAAGTTGTCTCTAAAATACGCAAATTCATGCAAACGTCAATGTATGGTGTGCAAAAATCATCTTGCTGATATTAATGATGTTTAATATGGAAAAGTTTTTGCACTGAATATGCAATATTTCAAAAGAGATGAATCTAAAGAAATTCTTCAAGCAGAAATTCGAATACTTGGATTTTGAAGTCTAAAAATCTAAATCTAAAAAATCTAAAAATATGATAGCACTGAAGATTTTTGGGGTTTCCCTGTTCCCAGTTTTAATAAATTATAAATACATTTTTCCGAGGGATAGGGGTCATAGGGAAGAGGAGAGAGAATTTTCAAAGAAGGAGCTCTGGAAAAAATTCATTAACGCGAACGGCTGGATTTTTCAAGTTGTTTTCTAATGCTTGTGTCCCATTTTAAAAATATATATATTTTTAATAGCATTTTTCCAACATCAGACATTTCTAGTCCTTGGTAAACATTTGTCTACGGAAATTGAATATGCAATATGTATATTGCATTGCAATCCCCGGAAAAAAAATATTTTTTGCAAATTTGAAAAATTTCACCTATTTCACTTGATTCTAAATTTGTTTGAAGAATAAAAATATTTAACAACATAATTTTCAAGTTATTTTAGAATGCGTACTGCATGGTCGGGTAGGAAATGAAGGGAGGTGGAGGAGGGGTTGGGGATGTTGAATGCGTACTGCATGGTCGGGTAGTATAATAGTTTGTATGAACTTTCTGAAAAAAAAAATAAAATCTTAAAATTGTATTATTGGAAGAATTGTAACACCCTGTTAAGAAAATGTTCTACACCCCTGTCCGAAATACTGCTGACTGACTAAACAGATAAAGAATGTATAAAACTGCTAAAAAAGAACATTTTTCGTCAGCTATAGCTAACATATAAAATATACAAATATATATACATGCGCGAAGAGAATTATTACAGTTTAAAAAATTTTATCTATATAAAATTTCAAAATATTCCTTATTAGGAGACAAACATTGAGATAGCGAATACTTTGTTTGAAAGGAATAACAGAATTTGTTCAGAGATTTCTCACAAATTGTTAAATTCCTGTAATTCTGTTACAAATTTTGAAAAAAAGGTTGCTAGACACTCTAAAAATGAATTGCTGTTATTTTCAACCCTTTAATTTAATATTTGTATAAATATAACTTTTACAAGTTTCAAATTTCGTTATCTAATCTTAAAATTGTGGAATTTCACAGAAACCCGTATTAATAAACTTTAAGCAAAGAAACTTATACAACTTAATTATGTCGCAAATATTATAAGTGCAAAACATTGTATTTTTATTAATTTAGACCAGTTTATGATCATAATTAAGTTCAGTCCAAATAATATAATATAATAATATAATAATATTTGTCATCTTTCACCTTTAACCTCTAGCCCTAAAACCCCATTCAAATTGTATTAGACCTCAAAACCCCCATTCTCTCTATAGACCCTTTTAGATCATACTCAGATATAACCCGGCAACAAAGTAAGGGCTAACTATGGTCAAAAATTGCCTTTTTTTAAATAATTATAATTTTTGTTAATTTTAAGTTTTAATCCAAAAATATAATATTTATCTGTATTTAACCCTGGTCCCTGTGAACTGATGAAAAACCGGTTAACAGACAAGGTTAATTGTGTAAGCCCTAGCTATCCACACTGGAGAGTTGCTGGGGGGGGGGGGTTCTTTGTCTCCTAGGATTACGCCCCAAAAGCGTCGAGAATGCAAAGAAAGGCAGCAGGCTAGACTTAGACTAGTCTCGAGCACTCCCCTATTTGCACAGTGAGCAAAGGGTAACAGTAACCTTTCCATTATTTTAAGTATTTTAATGCACAGTGTGTCAAATATTACATCACTTAGTATATCTTCATGACATGAAACCACAGAAACAAATCGTAAGAACTTTGTAAAATGTTAAACCCAGACCGAAATATATTTTCAAAAAATGTATAACAGACTCCTATTTTTTTACTCTACGAGGTTTGTAGCATAATAAAATATTTTGAAATACTCCCACTTAATATTCATAGTCAATCCCACCCAATATTCATATTCAATCCCACCTAATATTCATGTTCAATCCAATCTATTCTCTTTTAATTTTCATTTTCAATCCCATCTTCCCTCCTAATATTTATATTCAATCCCACCTACTCCTACCTAATATTTATATTCAATCCCATCTACTCCTACCTAATATTCATATTCAATCCCACCTATTTCCTCCTAATATTCATATTCAATCCCTTCTACTCCCTCCTAATATTTATATTCAATCCCACCTACTCCCTTCTAATATTCAAATTCAATCATATCTTCTCCCTCCTAATATTCATATTCAATCCCACCTACTCCCTCCTAATATTCATATTCAATCCCACCTACTCCCACTAATATTCTTATTCAATCCCACCTACTCCCACCTAATGTTCCTAATTAATCCCCCCAAATATTATCTTTAAATCCCACCAATACCCCCACCAAATCTAATAAAGTCATTAAATTCCAAGTTTAACTATAATTCCATTTAAATAAATTATAATTCTATAGAAGTAATGAAATATTGCTTATTCAGTCACTCTGCTTGTATAATGTATACATTGCCTGGATTCTAGCGAAGCCCTCCACGTGCAGAAAATGCACTAAGCCAAACAAGGCCTAGCTTTTTATGCATCTGGATCAATATTGGACGTCAGTTTATTTCGAGTGCAAAAACGACATTAACAATATTTTTTAAAACTTGCGCTTTGTTATAGTTACATATGTTAACAGTTAGTATAAATGTGTAACAGGAATAAAAAAATCGTTTCTTTTTAGGTTACCTCTCATAATTAATTCGAAAAAAATTCGTAAATTTCGAAAAAGCAATCAAATAATGCCTAATTCTGACAACGCTGTTCATATTTTTGTTCTGGTTTTTATTAACCCCTAGTCTCCGAAACAAATGATTTTCAGCTTAAGGCGCACGCACAGATTTATAAGCTAGCCCCCCCCCCCTACAGTTGATAAATGCGCAATAAGTTTGCCTGCCAATTTGCTCGAGGTGAAATGCAAAAAATAATTTGCAAAACTACTAGCCTA